AGAGGTACATAGATAAAAGTTTCTTTAAGCCAATTTAAAATGCATACGTTTGTACATGTATGTGGGCTTACATATATGTTAGTATGTATGTATGTACATTTAGAAGTAATTCAATACATTTTTTCGAAATACCAGGATTGGCTCAATACTAGGAACTTGGAACTTCAAATTGTATTCAACTGAAATGTACTGAACTGAACGGAATGGAACTGGCTAAAGCGCTGGTCTAGAAGGAATAATTAAAAGCTTTTTATAGGTACGCGTTGCTTTTCCTATTCGCTTAGAGTTGTACATTTATTAAGACTTTAATGTGTGCTAAATCTCGGACTAAAATTATTATTTTTTTTTTTTAAATCTTCTGGTCTCTTGTTGACCCGTTAGCCTAACAGCGTTTTAAAACGCGCTAATTTCATTTAAATTCTAAGCCTGTGTTGATTGCATGTAAGTGTATGCGTGTTCGAGCGTGAATTTCATTCTGTGTGGCTGTGAGCTTTTTGTCAAGCGCGTGCTACAACAATAATAATATTAAAGCTTATTAAGAAATCTTCTGGCAGTAATATGGACTCTTTGGTTAAAAGTTGAGTTACCCAATTCAATAAGCAAAATTTTGTTTTTCGTATGATTTTCATAAGTTATTCTGCTTCTTCTTCTTCTTCCGCTTGTTTTGCGATGTTTTTTGTTTTTTTTTTTGTAAACGGGTTTTTGGTTGTTTTTTTTAATGATTTTATAACAAAATGTAAAAATGCGAGTACACTAGGTTACACGTTCGTCTAGATGTATATAAGTAAAAAAATGTAAGCAGTTATGTAGTTGGTTAACATATAAGNACTAATGCATGAAAATCCTAACCTCAAAAAAATCACCCGTTACTATGTAGTAGTGTGGTTTTGAGTAGTTCATAGGAAAGACATAAAATGGTATTGAGTCCAACATCTTTTCAATGCAATCAATATTCAGTTAGAATTACTTACTCGACTTTCGTGTCTTTCCCTTCGCCGCTCATTCCACTTTAATTTTCGGGAAATTTTAACCATTATTGCACAACTATAGACTGCTCAATACTCAAATGAGCTTATTTGCCTCCTTTTTTTTCTTTGTACAGTGTTTTATTGATTAGTGAACGTGTGCGCCTAAATAATAAATGTTTGAAGGTCTTTGGGGTGCTCAGATTCACCGAGTATTCACATATATACATAACTGTGGTAATTCTTGCATTCTGTTCCTATTTTTTTCTATTTCCCTAAAGACTGAAAGTCCCTGGCACGCCTACTTAGCTTTCATAATACGAATAATTGCATAACTCGCTTTTTGCTTGGAGCTTATGAATATGGAAAACATTGAATTAAAAGGACCAAAAAGCTTCAAACAGGGGCAAATATTAAGTGTGTAGCTAACAAATTATATTGCTTGATTCAGCCCAAATGCAGCCGTATTGCGAATTTTTTTCCAACTACTTAGCGACGAATATCTTGCACTCATTTAATTAACCTTTCAACAGATATATTTACTTATGTTTTTAGAAACGTCATAGCTTTAGCAAATGATGAGGATATAATGCTTGGGAAAATGCTCTGGTTAAACTAAAGACTTACAGTTATGTCATATTATAGTGAGACTCATTGTCCGCACAGAGCAAAAGCCACCTAATAAAAAATAAATGTATGCCGTTCTCTTCAAGAAAAAAGCCTACTTATTTTGAGTGGGATTATCCAGAAGGCATTATCTTCATTTTTAATAGGTTACCTAATTAAAAGCTAAAAATGAAAAAAAAAGTCCACGCTGATCAGTCGTCGAATCCGATACCCTCTAAATGGCATTTTACAGCTCTACCTACTCGGCTACGGTGGACGCCTTACCGACGCTATTTTATTTAATAATATGAATTTAAAATTTATTGATGAAGATATCACATAAAATTAAGAAGACTTAGGGAATGATCAGGCTGTCGATTCAAGAAGAAATACTTTTCAAAGAATTCAAGAAGATATTTCATTTCAATAAATAAGGAATCTATATGGAATTTGGTTCGTTTTTTCATCTGTTTTACCACTTTTAGCCTTAAAACTTTTTCATAGAGACAATCTTCTTTTTGTGGGGAGCATATTTTCCTCTGTACGTTTCGGTGTCACTTGGGAAGGAAATATCGCCCATTTATTCTAAAACCAGTTCTCAAAAGGTTTCCAGGAATCTTAGGTCTTCCAAAATATTGGAAAACTATCTGCCTAGGAAGACATACAATGACGGATTCTGACATACAAAAAACTGTATTTTATCCTCCCCTTCCTCTTCTAACGAAGTCGTGGGACATTGCGCCCAGACATCGGATGTATGTTATTGCGCCCAGACATCGGATGTATGTACCTGCCGTTAAGGCAATGTCTTGTAATCACAGATGTCACGGCATATGGAGCTGATGCTTTTTCATCACTTAGGCATTTTGGGAAGATTTGTACCGGGCCGCGCGGCGCCAGCTGCCGGCTTTACAATTCTCATTTACTTTGTAGCGGCATAAAGTAGAAAATAATCAGGCATCTCGTTTAGATATTTTCAGAATTTCTTGGCTATCTAGGTGGTTTATGACTATTTTGTAAGGGATTTATAACCAAACAATAATAATATTTTGGCGCTTAGACTTCCGCTAAGTGTTTGGCCGATCGTCTCCTCCATCCGGCAGTTTGTGGTGTTCGTCTTGATATATCGCACAAATAGAGGGATCTACCCGGCAAATTTAATGAGAAGCTTTTTCATGGCAGAAAACAGTCCTAGGTTTGCCATTGACAATCGCTCAGTTCAGAAGGGCCGCACTGTCATCGAGCTTTAAGTCATCTGCGTATGCACCAAAAGACTCACACCTTTTAGAGTATTCTAATTTTTCTTTATGGTTCGGGGTGAAAGTGCATATTCTGGGGAGCTGCGGGCGCTCAGTCAAAATATGCGTGCGAATTCGCCCAAGACCAATTTATCTGCTGCATGAGTATATCGCCACCATTGCCTTTAGTGCGCTAACCTCAAAATTAAGTCGCATTCCCAACGATGGATAATGGAGATCGTCAATGCTCCTATCTTTCGCTCACGCGCAGATGGTCAACGCTAACTCAGTTTGGCACATCACTCGATCGTTAACGCTCCTATGCTTGACGCATCGGTTTCTAAACTTCACTCCCGGTGTAATTTTGGAAGCCGGTAATAAGCGACTGCTCACAAGCCAAACAAGGGCTCTAAATGGGCTCTGTATGTACTGATCATGCAGAGGACACTCCTTTATGGTAGCCAATGGCTAAGTACGCCTACTCACACCTTCACTAAATCTCAGCTCACTGCATAGCAGATAACTGCAGCTTGATCATGATTCACTCAATATGTATATTTAGTTCCAAGTAAATAAATCCATGATAAAAGGGCTGCATTCTGCGCTTTCGATTCATCTGCCTACCCTTACATCTCTCTCTATCATATCAGGCTTAAGGCGTGCATCGTTGACTTACAAAAGCCATATTCGCTTATGGAACTCGAATAATACTCCTTGGGCTACAAGTTCCACTGCTCTTTCTGGTTCTTTGATGTCTTGGACAATAATACACACACATTTTGTTCTACCTTAGCCGACATTCCTACTTGTCCGTTTTCTATACACTTTAGTCAACACATTTTGATCCGTTTATGGATTTTCGTATACTAGTTACTGGCGCTAGTTAGGCCGGCTTAGAAATAAAAGAAGGGAATTGAACGAACGGCACTGGCGTCGCGAATATAGTTTAGAAAGATTTAAACTAATAATAAATCTCCAAAAGGATATATTGTCACGGGCAGTGTTGCAGGACACGTTGGCCTCAAATAAGGACCACCTCTAAATAGTCACTCAAAGCAGATATTACTAAGCGGCACATAAAAAAGCCTGGATTTGCAAGCGCTCACGAGCGTCCAGCGAAATAAATAATTAAAACAAGTTATATTTGTATTTTGTTTTTCCTATATTGACGTTTGGAAATTGTTTGATGAATTCCGACAACGATTGCACTACAGGGTATTACGTAGATATGTACATAATTTCAAGAGCGGTTTTCTGCTAAGACAGCTGAGCCGGTGACGGCAAAACCCAGTAAGGGTAGATTAACAAAACTCGAAAGCCCCGTTCTCTCTTAATTCTACACCCAGATCTTTGGTTACTTTGCATAAAATATGACTAATTTGTTCTGTATTACCCCGCTACCACTCGCAGATAAACATGCCACTAATACCAATTTTGGTTCCTTTATATGCAATAAACTAATCTCTTTTCCATTAATGTGTCCTTTCAATAGACGAATTGGTCCCTTTCATACCTTACTAGATATGTTACTAGTCGCTTTTAAAAATAAAAGTGCGCACAGGGTGGTGTTGTCTCGAAGTTTTTATCGAGAATGGGTTAATCTCAATAAAAAAATTTCCAAACAACACCACTCTGTAGCTATCAAAATGTACAAATCTGTACAAGTGTACACATCGTGTGAACCCTGCTTTCTTTCTTTCGCTGCTATGCCGACATTTTTTTGGACTGAATCATTGCAATATTGGTTATTCAAAAATTCAATTACAATCAGTTTCAAATTGGGGTGTGAAGATTGAATCATCCATAGGTGAATACTAGCTAGAACTATAAAAACTTAATGCTTCGAAAGTTTAACGCTAGAGAACGCTTTCGAAAACTATTGGAACTCACTAACGTAATTTCAATAAATAACTTGTATGTAGGAAGAACACTGAATACACAAATCCTGGTAAAGGTATTATTTAAGTAGCAACTTAGTAAAAGTGGAATGCTGTTTGGTATGCAGATTTTGAAAATTAAATTGAAAAACACGATGGGTAATACATATGTAACTATTTTAGAGCTAGTATATATTATACGAATATACATAGATACAGTTACAGTATGAACTATTCGTTCTCAAAACACAACTATCTATGTATATATATTTTGGCAACATTTCAACTGACTAGATACTTTTAGCTTTTACTTAGTTAAATGAAATAGTAATTGAAAACTACAAATTCGTTTCGTAGAGAGAAAAAGAGAGGATGAATAGAAAAAGCTTGAAACTATGTAAATATAGTATGTATATTTCTATTGTATGTACTATATATATGTACGTATGTGTATGTATATATATGTACGGAAGCAAATATCATTGAAAGGGACATATTGAACACTTGAACGAGTATATTTGTGTGATTCGGTATATATTTTTTTTGGTATATATTCATGTCAGTATGGGTGATTGTATATATATACATAAGTACTACAAAAAAAAAACATAAAACTGTTCTAAGAATTTTTACTGTTATTTTGTTTTTTTTTTAGATATGCGGAAACATTAAGAACATTTTTACGCACATCACAAACTGATCTACGAGAGTGTAACAAACAAACACAAGGGAGGGGACAAATTTGTAAACTAATAAATAAATTATAAAGAGTAAATAGAAATTGTTCATACAAACAAACACACACAGTAAACTGCGTGTGTGTGTACATTAAAGGAATTGAAAAATTAAAAAACACAATTTTGTCAAAATACTCGTAAGAAGGGAATTTTATTTTTCCAAACCAAAAATTTACAACAAATTTGTTAACAAAAAAAAAAAAAAAGAAAAAGAACTAAAATATATAAATTATAAAAAATTTATATATTCAGTTTGTTTTACTTACTGGCACTCTTCGGAAGTATGTTTACTTTCGTCCGTACAATGAAAAAATTTCCCATTGAACAATTGTACACCAATTACGGAAAATATAAATTGAAATAATATGTACACGATTAGAATGTTAACAACATTTTTCAATGAGTTCACTACGCAGTCGAAGACGGCTTTCAATTTTGGTACACGTTTGATGGTTTTCAACGGTCGCAGGACGCGCAGTACGCGCAACGATTTGATGGTTGATAAATTTTGTCCAGCGCTGCTACCGCTCATATCGAAACCGAAACTAACAGCAGCGCACACAACGACCACAGCATCCATAATATTCCAGAATTCTCTTAAATAGCTGCCTGGATGTAATATAACGCCTAAATCTACAATTTTTAGTAACATTTCTATTGTGAATACGCCGGTAAATGCATAATCGAAATAATTTAAGATTTTATTTCGTGGCGAATGCTCACGAACAGGATCTTCGGCTGCTAACGCTATCGATGACAATGAGATGACGATCATTATGAAAAAATCAAAATATCGCAAATTAACAACCCAATGTGCGCCGCGGCGTATACTGTGCGGGCGCAATTTCCAAAAATTTCCAAAAGTGAACATATTATGTACATACATTCGATAGGATTTACAATTACAAATTCATCCAATTTCCAGATGCGCAAAATTATTATTATTTTTTTTTTTTGATTTTCAGTTGTTTTGCAATTGTTTTTGTTTTTCAATTCGTTTTTTGGGTTGAATTTTGATTTTTTGCGATTTTATTTTATTTTATTTTTTGATTTTGGGCAATAGTTCATTTGTTGAACATTCGGTTTGTTCAGTTAAATTTGGTATTTTTGTTTTGCATAATTTTGTTGAATCCATATTTTCAAGTTTTTGTTGAATTTTGTGCAGATTTTCCAGATTTGCGAATATAAATTTTTTATTTTTCATTTTTATTTTTTTTTGCGGTGCGTTGCATTAGCGCAGTGCAGTGAGGTTGGTTGTTGTTTTTTGTTGGGATTTATATAGCGATTTGTTGGATATGCATTTTTGATGAGGTTATTTGGTAGGCATATGGATGTTTGGTTGGTTGTTTGTTTGTTTGTTTGATTGATTGATTGGTTGGATGGATGGTTGGCGATGCAATGTAAGCGATTTGCAATGCAGGTTATGCGTTCGATAATATCAAAAATTAAAATTAAAAAATTGCATAATTCAACGAAAACGAATAAAAGAAAAAATATAAGAGAAAAAAAAATATGTATCAATATTTGTTGAAACATTGTTGACGAATGGTGAAATATATTTGTAAATACATGAAAAGAGAGAGTTAGTTTACTTAGAAGTTTTAAAATTAGTGTTGCTATTTCTTAGGTTTCGTAATACATACTTAGTGTTAGGCACTAAAAATATATATAAATTATTTTGGCATACTACGTAGCATTGAGCAAAGCTTCCAGTCTCTGTGGCTGGGAGAAAGAGCCTTGCTGTTGGACATTGAGTCCTGCCGAAAATAGTTAATACTTCCATTCGAAACGCAAAAAGTCATATTGTTCGGAAGGGTCGGACTAATGAACAATTTATGTCAGTTTAGTAAGCTTGTAAGTTGTAAAATGCTTATATAAATAAATAGAGTCTTAGCCTTTGGGAACTTATTTAGATGTCAAATCTAAAAAACCGAATCGATGCGTGCCTAGGTGAATACCCTTCTCTGAGCACATTACTCTAGGGAATGATGGGTAGGATGGTAGCCTCTGCAACAGAAGTGTAGTAGCTATATACTATATTCCTAGGCTGGCCTGAGTTGTGTGCTATAATTGGGGTAGGTACATTTCAGGCAGAGATGGCCGCCATAGAGGAGGAAATCAACTGACTACGTATAAGTTTAATAGCGATCACAAAGTTAAATATCAACAAGCGAAATGACAATTAGGGCTCTAGAATCGCTTATAATGCAATCGAAATTGACTGAAGAATATCTGATCTCTCCCCATGTCACTTCTTATTACTGATTTGGATTTCCTGGGTCGGTAAAATTACAGGAAACTGCATGACTGATTAACTGACTAGCCAGGGCATGCATGAGGTCATCTTACCTGACTGAGAAGGTACAGGGGTTTCTTTGGCAACCAGGGGAATGCTCTTCGACTGATTATTTAAAAGCCTACTCGGTGTTCGTTAGACGGAAACCTCGAAACCTCATATTGTCAATAAAAAAGAAGTTTCTAGAAGCTTGGCCCAAATGCTATTCATATGCATATACTATGTATATTTGTATATGTATGATGTAGATATACAAAACGTAAATAAGGTCTTCTAAATATTGCCTTATGACTAATCTTAAATATGCATATATGTAACTATCATTAATAAATCTGTCCAAGAGCTATGATACACCTAATTTATAGCCCTTAATACCTACCGAAATGCACATTTAACATACACTCACGCACACACTTTCACTCCCACACACCCACCCACCTACACATATGTATAAACACACACACAAACATTTAACCAAAAACTTGTATTTACGGGTTCGTCGGTGATAGTATAAACATAGATGAGTATGGTAACATTGGTTTTGGACCCTCCGTCACTTCTTCCTCCTCCTTCTTTTCCTCCTCTTTCTTTTTACTTTTCGCCTTATTCGGCGCCGATACACCATCACCGTTCTCCACGTGAACACCATCGGCTTGAAGTGCTTCCATTTCCTTTTCAAGCTCCTGCAATTGCTTCTCCTTATCTTCCTCGACTTGCTCCTCTTCGGCAGCTGTTAATTCTTGGGCATTCGCTAAATTATCGACAGCGATAGCCAAGAATACGTTCAACAGTGTGTAATTACCGAAGAGTACCAAAACGATAAAGTATCTGTAGCGATTCAGAAAAAACATATATACATATAACATTGAGAGTGTTAAGTGATTTCACCAATTTCCAAATAAATTTTCGTACAAATATTCAGTTAGTAAACGTGGAGGACAGTAATGTTGAATGTTGAAGTATAGTACATAAATGGGGTTAATGAGAGAGAGAGAGAGAGGGAGACTTTTGGTACTATGCTAGTAAGCGACAACTTGAAGTTCAATTAAATATAGTATTTAGGTGTGCGAATACACAAAGAGATAGGAAGCCAAATTGAATTAATTTATCTTAGTATGAAAACATACATATATAGGTATCTAGTTATGTAAATATATACTGATTAAAGTTAAGTTATTTACAAAGTATTAAGTAGTTATGTGTATGTATGTTTAAGTGGAGGTACTTAATATTAATTGAATGAAAAATTCGTATGTGTTCAATGAAGAGATGCATGTAATATAGTTGAAGCAATGAGTGGCAATAAAAACTAAAATGTTTCGAACAAAAATTTAAAATTTTATTGGCACAGCAGTTGAACCGTAGAAGTCTTCATCCTACTCAAAATTGTCCGTAGTTCAAGAAAGTTAGACGCAGCTTTCATTTTTTTCTGGCCATTTGAAAGCCAAAAAAAATATTAAGCGACTCTGCTGAATTCCTTGCTTGCCTACTTTATGTCAGTTTCACTGCTGTGCCAACATAAACATGTACATACATATATGTATATGTTTTATGATTGTCCATACACACTTAACTACATGTATGACATTGAATACTCTCCTTTGTTCGTTAGCGTTAAACGCGCCAAAAACTCCTGTTCAACATAATAAATCGTAGTTCTTATTGAATCCCTTATTTCTACATTTGCGATTGCTTTAATTAATTTTACAATATTTTGGTGCATTAAAATGTACTTAAGCATAAGTTGTGGCCGAGCAAGCCGGTTACAAGCAAAACAAAAATTATTTAAAAATTATTGCTATGTAAATATTCACAGCCACAGCAAAATTGTGTCAAACTTTTTTTTTAACCTTTAGCTGCTTACACAAATATAGGCAAATCATAAAAAAAAAAAACGTAATGAAAATTAAAACGTTTACATACACAAGTGCAAAGTTTACGTTGGGCTTTCGCTTGAACTCGATTAAAATCCCTCATCTATTTACATAAATTTCCCATAGAGTGCAATAGATGGTTTTTTTTTCATCTTGCTTGCTCTAAAATTTTCTTGATTTTAAGTATTTTATGGTGAGTGTTTTAAATATTAAATCACTGCTATTGAGAATCATTGATTAATGATTGTTGCAAAAAATGTCACAGAAAAAGTTTGAATTTTATGAAAAAATTTAACCAGTAATGTTTTGTGTTATAGCGTATTAAAATTATTTTCAATTATTCAACGAAAAAAGTATTAACCATTTTTGTTTGACTTTCAATAGTTGTAGCTAAGAAAAGTAAGCTTTCAAGCAAGTATTTTAATATGTGCATTAGGGTGGCTCTTATTTTTCGAGTGTAAGTTTTTTCTTTGCTACTCTTCAATATAGTATCGATGCTAAGATATGGAGGAGAATGCAGCAAAAAGTAATTGCTAAAGCGGACGATGTTCTAGTACTGATTCAGGATAAGTTCCCCCATAGGCAAGCCAAATCAAAAGTTAAAAAAAAAAAATGGCGCGTAGAGGCCACCAAGCTAAATCTGAGCTAGTTGCTTTACTAGACGGTACGAGTATAAGGTGCCGCCTCTACAACTAGCTGGTACCAACCTATTTTTTTTTTTAATTAAGGCCAAAAACCTAAGTAGAATTACCGAAGAATTTAGAACCTTTTTTATCGCGTTTGTTTCCATATAACGAATAAATACAATTTATTTTTATATGGAAGAAACCCGCAACACATTCGGCGGAAAAGATTCTAAAAAATCAACGGTGATGTTTAGCCACTTGAAACCTGCACGTTGTTAGAATAAAATTGAATGGGCTATAAAACTGCGTAGTCAAAAAAAATTTAACACTTCTGAGAAAAAAAAATTAAAATTTAGATGAAAATTTGTTGAATTTTTTTGTAGTCTTTTACAAAGTTTAAAACTTGGGTATATATGGGTTTTTTAGAGAATGAACTTTATTTTAATTGCAAATTCCTAAAAATAAATAAATAAACATGAGTGGGAAATAATATCACTTGGATGGGAGTGCTATTGTATTGGCCAATACTGTACATATGCATAAGCGCGAGAGTCCACATCTGACTGAAAAAAAACATAAAATTGACCGCTTGTTAGAGCTTCGCCTCCACTTATGGAACATTTTTTCATAAGTGGACATTTTTCAGTGTCCGCGTCCGTTTATCGGAAAGTAGAAGTCCGCTTATTAAAGCGTCCGTTTATGATAGCTTTCACTGTATTGAAGAGTAGCAGTTAATAGTTATTTTACGGGTTACTTTATAAGAGCCACGCGCGCACTAGCTATGCACGGTTTGATCAATAATTAGAATGTCTTTTTAAATTAAGATCAAGAATTAAATTTTTCTCTACCCACTTAAGCTATTTCTATGATTGAACTATGTCAGTAAAATTACGTTCAAAAATAAAGTTAAAAAATTTGTAAAATTTTTTTTTACTCACTTAAGCTATTTCTATGGTTAAACTATATAAGAAAATTACGTTCAAAAATTAAATTTAACACAGTGTTTACTTAAATTTTTTTATATTTTTTCCTAATGCAAGTATTGTTTTATTTTTAGAAATGGATTTCCAAATGTTCAATTTTATATATTAGTGTAAGTAATAGTAATTGTAATAAATAAATTAATACAAAATATTTGTAAGTGTACTCAATTTAAGTTTTTACTAAAAATACTGTATATTGATCTACCCAGATTTATGCCGAGGTTTCACTGGGCATTGAAATGGCGACAAATGCGTGCCATGTAAAAACATCCAGCTCAAAACAAACTTAATGACTATTACTTTTAACATGACGGATGAAGTGGATTAATATCCAACTTCATCATCAGAGCCTTTGTTATTTACGGTTTATTGGAAACTCAGCATTAGAATTAAAATAAGGTAGTAAAAATTTTACTAAATGTAGCTGCTTTCCTTATCAATTTCCAGCTCACTACTGAGGACGGACCGGATTACCTTAAAAATTTTGTGAACATATTTTAAGATTTAATTTAACGGTGATTAATTACTAATATTTCTTACAATCAACTAAAAAATATATTTCTATTTTGGTTACTTTGGTTTAATATAAACATAGTAAGCCAATGTATTTCATAAGCCTATTAGGTTACTTATTGTTATTTATGGAAATCTTATAAACTATTATTTCAGTTGGCCCAGTTATTATTTTTAAGATGCTCATCTGAAAAAAAACGGCACTGGTTTAAAATAAAGAGTTTATATTTCTTAAATATTTCATACCTTTTTTTAGCATTACGCTCTCCAGACATCTCATTTGCAGTCCCATTCAGCGTCTTGCATAGCTCACAGCATTAGGGGCACATAATTTTAGTAGGATTTTTCCAGAAGCCTGCTTGCTACTTCTAAATGCTAATACAAGCTCAAAATAAACTTAAAATTTACACTTAATTTTTTTTTATAATGGACATAGCTCTGTTAACATAAATTAATTTATATTTCAAAAAGCAAAAAATTTAGCGATATTATACATTTATATAAATTCTTAGTAGATTTTTTACTTAAATAGTAGATTAAGCAAATTTCAGAAAATATTTGAAAGCTGACTTTTCTAGCACACTGTAGTAAGTCATTAATTGAATTAAAATTTTTTTTAGAAACGAGTACACTTTATATATTTTTTCTTTTGTGCGCAAATATTAAAAAAAAATAGCAAAAAAAAAATGGCGAATCTCTGATAATTTAAAAACTCATAATTTTAAATAAAATCAAAAAGCAATTGCAAGTTTCAAAGCTTATAGTGCAATAAGCTCTTCGTAATAAAAAAAAAATTATGTTTTTCATAAAGAAAATATAAATTGTTTATGGTTACGATTGCATATTAATTTTAGTTGGTAAATAGGAATGTAAATAAATATATTTTGCATGCAATCAGGAGTATAAAAATTTGTATATGGTTCGTATTTGCGCGATCAGAAATCAAGTAGGTTATGTCATTCAGCGTTTTATGTATAAGTAAATAATAAAAATGTTATATGGCAAATGCCGAATGAAAAATTTTAATTACAAATGACAAAAATGAAAAATAAAAAATAATAAATGACAAATGGCAAATGGCAAACCGTTAATGAAAAATTCACCATGACAAGTGACAAAAAGTGACAAATGATAATTTTAAAATGACCAATAATTTGGGAAAAATGAGCATCAAAAAACGTCAAATAATAAATGACAGATGACAAATGTCAAATAATAAATGACACATGACAGATGGCAAATGAAAATAATAAATGACAAATATTAAAAAAAAAATGCAAATGATAAGTAGCTTACCAAAAATAGGTCAAATTATTACAAATAATAAATGGCGAACAATAAAGAGAACATTACAAACTACGAAGAACAAATGAGGCGCATGACAAATGACATCACTTATCAATTTTCAAAATGCATGCGACGCATTATCTTATATATTGGCGCGCAAATACGAACCACTTCACTATGTATATTATTTAGTTTTGCAAATATATTTACATAGCTACATACAAAAAAAGTTGTTTTAAACAATTTAGAATACCAATAAGTGTTTAAATGAGTGAAATCATTTTAGTTATGAAATATATATTTTTCTTTTAGATTAGTAATAAAAGCCTTATGCATAATAATATGAAAATATAAAATATTTTTAGAAGTGAATTTCCGAAAGCTCCTACATACACAGCAGCACTGCATATGCTTTACCGTGATGCACAAACTTTCGAAAATTCAATACGATATGTAAATAAATATTACATATGTCATAAAAGCTTTCATTAAGCTTAGAGTGATTGCACACATTAATGGTTCGACGTTCAACAACGGGCGACGTTAAACAGGTGCTAACAACACAGATGCATTTACAAATTCATATATGTAAAACATGTACTTAGTATGGTCTTAATAAGTACTTTGTAAGAGCTTACATTTCGCTCTGTGCTGGCGATATGATTTTGTATCTATTAATATAGTAAAGATTTTACCTGAGCTTGATTCGGATATTATTATTGTTATATGTATTCAATTATTAAATATTTCATTTCATTTTCGTTTTGCGAAGCAATAATAATTTTGAAAGCTCGATATCCCACCGTATTGAAAAATATGATTTCATTGCGTATTGACTAACACTTCCTTACAATCGTTTAGTTAAATAGATATGCAATGAAGTATTAGTGAATACATGCGTGTGGATATAAGTGTATGTGTGTATGTGTGTGTGCCTAAAAACTTTAGCTAAAAGGAATGTGGCGCTCGAAGAACAATTAAATAAATTGAAAAACAAAATTAAGTGCGCCTATTTGGCCCAAAAGCTCAAGAGAGTGGAAACGTTTTATTATACATATTATATAAATATTTTGCTGAGCTTATGCAGTTTATATATAGATATTAGTTTGAAAGCTGTAAATTTTTTTCCAGAATTATATTACACTTTACAAAAAGGACATTCAGATTGGATTTAAGATAAATTAGTTTAAAGATTTATTGTGGAAATTGATTAGTTAGAAGTTAATTGGAAAGCTCAAAATCAATGTATATATAGACGGCCTGTGTTAAAATGCAAATTAATATCAATACATATACAATTATGAATAAATGTATGCAAAGGTGATTTCTAGGCTTTGAGTTTTATTTAAACCATCTAGCAGTTTAGGGTTAAGTTTGAAGTTTGAGAACAAAAAAAAAAAACAAATCAATTACAATAGCTGAATATGTACGAGTAGGTACATATGTATGTATGTATGTAGTTTTCTGTAGTATAAAAACTTACACAGAATAAATCATTCCTTTCTTAGCGCCACCTTGTGATTTAATACCCTGATACATGACTTCATTCCAATCTTCACCGGTTAGAATTTGAAATACTGTAAGTAAGGCTATGGGGAATGTGTTGAAATTTGTTTCGGGGGTACCGCTTTTAAAACTAAATTGCCCGCCAAACAATTGCATGCCAAGTAGTGCAAATATTAGAATGAACAAGAAGAGCAGGAACAATAGTGAAATGATGGATCTCATCGAGTTCAACAACGAAATCACAAGATTTCGCAGTGACGACCAATATTTGGTCACTTTGAAGATACGTAGTAAACGTAGCGCTCTCAATACGGATAGACCGAATGAGCCTCCCTTCACCTCAGACCATATAACTTCGAATATCGAACCACTAATGACGACACAATCGAAACGATTAAACGACGATTCGAAGTAAGTGCGCGGTCCGAGCGCATACATTTTGATAAACATCTCCGACATGAATAGACCCAAAAACGAAAATTCAGCATAGTCTATAATGAGAAGAGAAGATAAGAAAAAATTTTAATTTCAGTTAGCATGCCAGACTAAGGATTAAATTAAATAAAATTGAATGAAAAAGAATCGTTGAATGGACTGTGATGCAAAATATCCCTAAGACAGCAGACTAAGACTAAGGTGATAGCTATTTTTAATTTTGTAGGTTGTACCAGAATCTATTCTTATGTCTCGTTTTAATTCTCATCACAAATCCCTTCCGAAAGAGTGATTCTTGATGCCAACCCTTCTGGGAAGCCTTAAGTTTGATAAAAACAGGTGTTTGGCAAAACAGTAGGTCTCTCACCAAGAGGGCTTATTGGATATATGTTATCTGCGATATATCGGCTCTGCTGGCAACCTATAAAGAAAACTCTTTCCTACAACGTCTGCCGCTGCTACATTTACGATCACTTTACATCTTTTCAGGAGGATAGGTTTAAATGAAATAGATTTTGGTAAAATATTGTGAGAGGAGAGGCGGAAACTACTGCTGCTAGATCGTGCGCCACCATATCCTTTGCTGTGAAGATAACGCGATCTAGATTCCCTGTGGCTAATTATTAGCTTATTCCCAATTCCGTTTCCGGGCATACAATTTCTCGTATATTTGCTGATGGCTCCAAAATTGGCTCTGAGTCGAGATTTGGAGTCAATATAGAAGATAACCAGAACGAGGTCCTCTTTTTTCTATACAAAAACTCAGTTTTCCAAGCCAGGTAATTTCAATCGTCAAGGCCAAGAAGTACTTTCCTAAATAAGGTGAAAAGGTAGGAGTTTACGTGCCTCAGCTAAATTTTGTTGGAAAACAATTATTTTATTCTTGATGCCCCACATCATTCGAGATCGCCTGGTAATGAAAAAATCTGACAATTTCAGTAAAGAGGACTCAGACCATGAATTCCTTGGTCTCCAGCCAATTATAGTACTCCCACCCTCGGCCACCTGAGCCACCGTCAGAAACATAGCACAGCAATAACCAGCAGGCTTCGAGGAGCTGCAGGGGGGGGGGGGGNGGGGGGGGGGGGGGGGGGAACAATCTCAGAAAGTCCATCTAGATATTTTCTTTTATTGACCAGATGGGACTGCAAACACTTTGCGCGATCTCTGAATAGTATAGTATAGTATATATCTAGGAGCGCAAACCCCCAACGGTGACAACTCAATTAGCCATCTCTTGGTCTGATTATGGCAACTCTCTTAATTGGATGTTGCTTATAACTGAAAAGCCGAAACTAAACGTAACTTAATGCCACGTCGAAATCTGTTTCATTTTGATTTTCTAAGCTCTACGTTCCGTTAAGTTAAGTTAAGTTGCCATAATCAGGCTTTCTATCTTGCAAAGGATGAAACTGCGAAACATTTTTTTTGCTTCTGCACCGCCTCCCAGGATTTTGCAGCGGTGTGTTGTGAGACGAACAACTGAATTTTTTTTATCGTGTAGATTTTAAGCAGCTCTCTTTTCTCAGTGTGTAGTTGTTTTCTAGAAATTGTTTGCTTCAAACAAGTTAGAGTTTCTCTGCATTATGGCGATGAACCGACCCTCCTGGTCCTACATTCGGCTTTTGATAGGCGAGTCTTCTCTACTGTATTGGATAGTTTTTAAATCGGTACCGAATATCGATCAGTACATAAAATTATCGACTCAGTACATCACTAATATGATTGTGTTAAATGCTTATGAGGATTATTAAATGAATATATTGTTTGAGTAAAAAAATACTTATCGGTATTAATGAATGTAGCCAAATTTATCGATAGTGATATCAATACATTTATCGAATTTTCTTTAATTTATAGTTATCTTTATATTAATCGAAATTATTATCGATATTTTATAGATTTATCGATTCATCCGTATTTTGTCGATTTATCGGTATTTCTTTGATTTATCGGTTTTTATTGTTTTTTTTGAAATTTTATAGATATATCGATGTTTTGTCGATTTATCGACTTCCACTATCCACCGGCCATAGCGTTTTAAAATATTCTATCAATTATACTTACATAAAAATTGCGTTAAAAATTTTGGTTGACCATAGTGCTCTACAGCGACACACATAGTGTTCAGGAATACGAGTACGATGACGAACCAATAGAACCATTGCGTTTTCACCGTGTGCCTTATCCAGAAGCGAAAACGTTTCTCGGCACGCCAAAAGCCCGTACAGCTGCCTTGTGGTTTCGGGCGTGATTTTAGGTATCCTATAGTTAAAATTATAATTGGAGAATAAAATAAAGCGACGCGAATTAGTAAAATATAAAACAATGTTTACTAAGTATACAAAAAAGGGGTAGAATTCTCTAGGTAATTATTTCGATATGTATGTATGTGTGTAGGTAAATAATGTGCGAGCATGTTTTGAAAATTGTATTAGGAAGGAGCGTATATAATGTTTCGTAGATACAGCAAGAAAATGTTAAACATAAATAGAATGCATTTGTATTTTAAATGCATGTATTTATGTTTTATATTTGTAAATAGCAATGCATACACAGAATAATGAGCTACTGGCATTAAAATATTTATTTTAAGTGCACATTGTTTATGAACTATGAAGTGAACTAACCATGAACGTTAAGAAAATGGTAGAATTTTTGTTTCTGTTTCATCAATTGTGTACTAGTTAGAATAGATAAAAGTGGAGTAGTAATTTTTCTAAGGTGGAAAATACTGGCTGACTGAATCAATATTTTTGATTTCATAGGAAATAAATGTTTGCTTTTATTTGAAAATCTTTTGGAGTCCTTAATGATCTCTATGTACATTGCTTAGTACTCTATCGGCTTTTAAGCGATGCAATAATTCACAAACTCGAAAAAATTTTGATGAGCCTTTGATATTTAAAAAGTAGGCTTAAGCTTTGACTAAATTTCAATCTTAAGCTCCCTTCATCGGTGCAAATATTTACACTTTCAGTGTGAAGTTATCAGCATTAAAAAATGCGTGAGCAGAGCTCTCCCATACTTTTATAGATTTTATATAGATTAGTGCAAAGTAGAGCCTCTACCTCGCCATCACTGACGCAAAACTTTGCGGACCACGAGCACAGATCTGGCCACCACTGATGAAATATTTATTTTTCTTAGTTTTCCTTTAAAATGTTAATGATTTTGTGAAGAGTATTTAAATTTTCGATTCGAGTTTGAGACTCAGAACATTCTTTTCTAAGTTCATTGTGCAATTAACGCTTTAGTTAAGGTGGGTGTATGTGTGTGTGTGTATGTATGCATATCGTTTCCAAGCTAGGTTTTAAAGCGGTATATGGCGTACAATAAAAGCTGCTAAATAGTATTTAAGGGCTATATTTCAGTTTGCTTTCAAATGTTAGCGCATACGAGTTTTTTTTTTGCGAAAAATAGTAGAATTAAAAAAAAAATGATTAAGTAAAAGTAAACAAAATTAGAATCGAAATATTTGTGCTTGTGGCAGTACGAAAATTATTTATTTTTAACCCTTAATTAGGCGCATGGGATGAAGACCATTTCAAATAAAAACAAGTAAGAAAGTCTAAGTTCGGGCGGAGCCGAACA